TATTATATTGTTCAAATAAACTTAAATCACACAGACGCTGTTACAGGAGCGTGTAGAGGCTATAGTCCCGCCATAATTCTCTTCCTCTCGACTAGTGGCGCCGCCTCTTGGGCGTATAAAGAATAAACATTACTTTAACGTTTTCCAGTTATCTTACAAGTTCTATGTCTCCCTGGGTACTGCCGGAACGTACCCTGGGTACGGTCCGGTATACTGGAACGTACCCTGGTAACATCTAATATGCCGGACCGTACCTCGCCTACTCCATTAACAAGTTTAGGGAGTCGCCTACTCCCTAACCCTAACCCTAACCATATCAGATAGTTACCAGGGTACGTTCCGGTATACCGGACCGTAACCAGGGTACGTTCCGGCAGTACCCAGGGAGACATAGACCTTATCTGCGCCAATTACAGTTAAGAGCTGCACTTTATGCTCACTGCTATTTTTACTCAACGAAATTCAAATATTCGAATTTTATTTTTTTAAACATGTATTATATATTCATTAGCAAACAAATTGGTTACCATACCTGATACGTAAGCTGTCGTGAGAGATGTGACGAGCCACACCAACTAGTGATAACAAGTTGTAGATAACTTGCTCATACAGTAGCCTGTTGTCAGAAAAGTGAGCCGAGGATAGATTCGGTGACATGTTTGCCTGTAAACAATGCAATTCTCACATGAAAACACAGAATCACTCACGTACGCACATACCCACACACGCACACACACACACACACATGTAAAAAGGTAGTTATACTTGCCAAGTAGCTGTTAACATTGCAGTTCACAGGCAACGATGCGAAGTGTATATAAAACTTATTCAAACACTACTACAGTACTATCCTACAATACAAAAGCAATGTACTCCCAAAAAAAACATGGTTATATTGACAATTATGAATGCAAATAAACGCATTGTCCAACACATATATACTAGAGGTGTGAAAGTTGTAGGAGAGTACCACATAGCTGCTCACCCACAACGACTCACAAACACCATAACTAGCAGCAAGCATCTGAAGAGAATCACCTCCATTAGATAGATATTTGATTCCTCATCCAGAACATAATCAAACCGCATCATTTCAAAGAAATTGCGGGTTGATCTGTAATTTGTGGTCGACTGGATGAGCTGATTTTCCTTTGATGTGAAGACCTCTATGATAGACTCATCAATTTGTTGCCACACACGATCTGGGTTGAGCCCTAAAAAGGTATAAGATATATACACATATGTGTGACATATAATAATTGAATAACATAATAAAAATAAATAATTCATTAATATAAATAATTACCTCCATGTGTTTATTAGACCAAATAAGTGATATAGGTTCTGAGATATCTCAGTAACATAAACAATTTTCTGGTGTTTACTACATATGCAAGTAAGCGGCATTGTGTATAAAAGTATTATACACATATAACAAATATTAATGATTACTGCCTGGTTTTTCATTCACTGGTTTTGTGGGCAATGAGAATCAATAATTTTCTCAGTCCACACAACCCCATGCTTCTCTCAAAATCAGACGTTAATTGTTTTGTTACACATAACATCAGGAGAAAATAGCAGGGAGACACATAAGAGGAGTATACTCACAGCAGCAAGGAACAACACGTAAACTATGAAAGAAGCCTTAGTATAACTAATGTGGGGAGTAAAACCAAAATAGCATAAGTTTACTGACATTTTTAAACAATGAAATGAAAGCTCATTTCCTATCAATCATGTTGTGGTACGTTTCTATAAAACATACTCAAATTACATCACTCCATCTCCTAAAATTTAGTGTTCAGGCCTCATAAGGAGTTTTGTGGAGCTTGAAAAATAATGTTACCTGGAAAATAGACTGGAACATTGATTTTTCTCAGTCCCAAAAACACCATTTTCCCTTGCAACTAAGCAATAATAATATAATAATCACACATACATAGAACCAGAGTATGTTAATAATTCATACATACCTTTACTCTTCATATACATATTAAATGACTCTTTAAATGAGAAGCCAAGATCAGTGTAATAATGTTTCAAGGATGGCATCTAAAACACAAAGAACATATCACTTTATAAATATACAAAATTCCAATCCTGATATTACACTGATTCAGTAGTAAACATAATAAATACACGTGTTTTCGTTCCAGAAACTATTTACGCTAGTGTAAGCCTACTGTTAGCGTTCTCGGTCGATTCGCTTTACACAATTAATGTGTATCTATACGGCAAAACATTCTTCAAAAATGTTTTTTTAAATGCTCTACTTCGGAGCCCATTTCTGGTTCAATAAGAACATTTCATGATGTTTTCATACTGCAAGTACGCTAACAGTAGGTGTATTTATGCATTTTGTTGCAAGAACCAGCCGTTTTAAGTAGGGAGGCACATTTAAGTCATTAAAGTAGACCACATGTGAACCATCAAATGGTAATAAGGTTAAACTCGGTTACTTTCTGCTCAATTTAGGATATATTTTACCATTTTTACATTCTACATACCACAGTTCACATAACTATCATTAGCCCTGTATTGACTGCTAGTTATACCTTCCACATAGGCGTGTAGTCATCCTCTACCACATACCTCTTCAAATCTGCAGGATCAAAGGGATGATAATCTTTTGGACAAAATCTGAAATAAGCAAGTGTAAAGGTTGAGACTAGATAAGAGCAGACAAAGTAAGCACCTAATTGCAGGCTATATATTCACCATGGGTACTTATACTTATGATTTTTGGCTAGTAAATTTAGATAATCGAAACATAGCAACTTTAATTTAAGCACAGGCTTTAGCTTTTCTATTTTTACATTTTCATTTAATATTGTTTTCACAATACTGAACACACATAACTATGTACATAACATGGTATTCCTCCTCGAATTAGAATTTCAAACATCGCGCACACATCAGTGAGCATGAGCATGTGATACGTATAGAGCTCACCTGAACAGTGCATCTTCATCGTACAAGTATAGTCGCAGAGGACGTATTGACGTTAATACAGCGTACACTCCAATGTCAAATTTCCTACAACAGCCAGAGACTAATGACAATGTTTTATAGCATGTATGTGGGTTTACATGAACCCAGGGCTTAAAACTTATGCTCGCTCGCGTGCCCGAGGCCAGTAGAAATCTGTAAAGGCTAGTAGCATGTCTCCGCTGACCAGCCATGCTGTCAAGTGCTGATAATATTCATATCCGTGCCTACTTTTTGTGCAACTGATCCCACCTGGTTTAAGTATAAAGTTTATGTGTGCAACCGTCACACATCGTTACATGACCGCACAATGTCATGTGAAAATGTAACCATGATATGATATAACACAATTAATACAAATGCTATTTAAGATCAGACTTTCACCTGCCTACCCATCCTAACTTAAAATGTAATCATGATAATTATGATATAACACAATACAGACACTATTTAAGGTCAGATTTTCACCTACCTAGCGAGCATAAGTCAACTAACCTCCTTTTATTAAAATGCAGCTAGAAATATGCCAACAACTTTTTCTGGCCTAATTGATAACTAATACTAAACAAGTGCCACAGTGCAACAGGGCTCATCTAGTGTCTGGTGTCTGGTTAGGGTCCCTATATACAGAGAGTTGCGCCAACTCAGGATTTGACTCCATGTTGTTTCCAAATGGATCCACACCGCTGCCGCTTAAAGGCCTCCTTTAGTGATGAAAAATAGTTACATATATCAAAGTAACTATGTTATGTACAACTACT